TACTTCATTTAAAAAGTGCTAGTAATATTGAATCCACCAGAATGAAAAATTAGGGATTAGCACACTTCCCTCTGTGCCCCCCATCATAAGATTGAAAAGAAAGGTTTAGAAGAATGGATTTTGAGATCTTTTATTCTGTGTTTTCCATGCTTCATGAGGCTGCTTGTGAGACTCCATGATCATGGATGCTGTAACTGTCCTTCAAAACAAGCTGTGGAACCAGTGAAGCCTGGTTTCCTATAGGGTTGTGTCTCATGATGGAATTCTCTGGTGTTTAACAAGGTGCAGGTTGGGAATGATGCCTTCCTTTGAAGGGACGACTTTAAAAACCTTCCCCTTTGCAGATTCTCTGGTATCTAATAATGGTTGAGGTCGGGGTAGCCTCTCCCTCTGTTGAAGGGCTAATAGGATTTCTGTCTGGATTCACCTGCCGAACGCCCTTCTCCCTTAGGACAACTGTCAAGGGCAGGAACCCTGTACCACAGAGCAGCCTCATTTATTCAGTTCCTCTTTTGGATTGCCAGGAGTTCACCCATGCGATTAAACAGAGCCTTGGAAGCCAATGCATCAGAGTGGGGGAATTTGTCTTGTAGGTGAAAACAAGTTTTTAGTACTCTCGTGAAGGGAAGATACCATTTTCAAATACAGTGTAAACCATATTATATGCAGCTCTGGTAAGCCCTTTGAATGATTTTTCAGTAAGCTACTGCATCAAGAAGGCTGCACTTAAGCCCAAGTGACCTGTTTGAGTGAGATAAGGTTTGCAAGACTTTTAATGTTTTTAATCCCATCAGGTGCTTCCTTTGCTTAGGGTTTGATTTTCTCATACCACGAGGCATGGTAACCAAAGCATCCTCTACAGGATGATAAAATGAAACTCATCCAATAAAACCCATCTTTCCTTGCTGTACATAGTTTACAACTTTGTCAAGGTATGCTGTTCTCCATATGAATCCAAGCAAGGATTGTCATCTAAGGTACAGCTGTGTTGGTCCACCCTGTTAAGAGAGAGCCATGGAACAAAATTTTGTTCTTGGGCCTGTGTTATTCTCTGCTATATGGTAAGTAGATTAAGTTTCCTGTGAGTAATCTGCAATTGGAGGGGCAGGTTTTGCTTAGTTGATAAGTTGTTAAGTTATGGATTTGCCTGTCCGTGTACTAAGATGTGGTAAATACGCAGCAAGTCCCACTAAGGAGAACGTGCAAGTTCTTTGCAAGAGGCTGCTACAAAAACACACTGCCTAAGGGGCACCTGCAGCCCCAGCAGGGAAGAGGGTTGGCTGGCTAATGTGGAAACTCCTGCAAAGGTGTTGAAGGGTAGCGTTATTAAAAGCAGAAAGCAGGTGCACACAATGTCCTTTTGAGTGGCTGAGCAGCCTGGAGAGATGGCCATTCTGCCTTTCCTTCCACCATTCCCTGTTCATTAAMCCTTTGCCTCCTTCCCCTTCTGTTGGGAGGGCATTACTTGGATCCAGGCCTTGTCTTGGAAAGGAAAAGGTGGGAAGAAAGGGCCAGAAGGATTCTTCACGTTCGCCACCTCTACCAAGTTATCCTTTCCCCCTAGAAAGAAACTGAAGGAGCACTTCACGCTTGCTTGGAAAGATGAATGGTAAGCCAGGTTTAAGGAAGGTATGTGCCCTCCAGTCAGGATTTACCTCTGTGCTGCTTATTCTGTCAGGAAAATTTGCTTTTTTTCCCTCAAAAGGACCTCTCACCCATGGTATAAAGGAAGAAGCTGCCTCCAACAGGCCTCCTTGGGCTTGTCACAGTGCATGTATTTCAACCTGCTCTTAGACCAGTGCTCCGCCAGACTGTTTCTTTTATTGCCAGGCATTGGGAGTCACAGAATCATAAAATCACGGAATGGTTAAGGTTGGAAGGGACCTCTAGACATCATCTAGACCAACCCCCTGCACATGCAGGGTCATCTAGAGCACATGGCACAGAGCTGCGTCCAAGTGGGTTGTGAAGATCTGCAGAGAAGGATGCTCCACAGCCTCTCWGGGCAGCCTGTGCCAGGGCTCTGTCACCCTCACTGTTAAGAATTTTTTCCTTAAGTTCCCGTGGAACTTTCGTTGCTTCCGTCTGTGGCCATTTTCCCTAGTTCTGTTAGTGGGCACTGCTGAAAAGAGGCCGGCCCCCTCCTCCTCTCTCTCCCTGGAGGTAATGACAATGTTTTGTTACATTGATCTCCTTCAGCCCGACCAGTTGGCCCTGGACTTCCCATTAAATGCAGGCCCATCAAAAGGCCTAGGACCATGTCGCCACCTGAGTCAGGCCTGCACTTTGAGTGTGTCCTGACAYGTCCTGGAGGGCTCACAGTGCAAGGCCAGCGCCACAGGCCACACAACACGGAGTTGCTCRGCACATGTTTGCTTAGGTTTAGGCTGACGCGCTGGACGTCGTCCTCTCACGGAGAAACGCTGCCCAGGGCCTCTGCGTGGCCTCATGCAATCCTGCCATAAAGCACTGCTTCAAATTAAACTTTCCATTTACTGCTACCATAACATGTGCTGGTGACTGTAAACACCTTATCCAGATGCGCGCGCCTTCCACGCAAGCTTTGCCTTATTGCTTGGAATCCCCCAAAGCCATGTGGAGGTATAAGGTGATGTGAGTAACAAGGAGAAAACCTGACCCCGTTCACACGTTCAGGCAATTTCTCAGCAGAAACAGAGCTCCAAAGTYAGTGAGCTGCTCTTGGCAATTTCCTTTCAGCTTTGCTTCATTCCGAATGGCTGCAGCTTCCCCAGCTCTGCACGGCTGAGTAGCCACGAGGTGGGCAGTGGGATGAGGAAGACTCCGTGCTCAGAGCATTTTCATTCAGGGTTCTCTTTCCAAACATGCAAAGCAGAAGGTGGGTGGGGGGGCAGAGAAGATGAAGAGTAAAACCAAAAAAAGCCGACATGCATTATTTAGGACAAACGGACTTGATTATAGATCCTAAAGGTGCTATAAAACTGATGGATTACAGGCTCAGCATTTCTGGGGTTTCAGCCGTCTGGCTTCCACTGTGCTTCCATTGTGTCAGCTCCCCCTCTTTTCATGGCTTTCTGCTGGAAAACTCGTGCTGGAGCACAAGTGGAGTGCAGCAGGTCCTAACGAGACCCAACAGCTGCCTTTTGTTGCTGATGTGGAAACAGCTGTAAGGGGGGAATATAATCACGCTTCTGTTGGCGGTCAGCTGTGCACCATAGGCACCTTTCTTGGACGTGGAGGCAGCTCCCGGGGTGATGTAAATGCTAATTGGGCCCCCAGCCTGCTATTTTGTGCCCCGTTTGACAGACTAAGCACTTGTTGTACTGTCCCCCAGGTATAAAGTTGACTGAACAGCTACTCTGTGCTGCCTGTATTACAACAAGGCCCGTGTTTTTTTCGTGGGCTGGAGGGGTCTTTGCGCTGCTCCCCACAGTGGGAGGAAGGGCTTCTTGGGGTTTTGATCTGCTCCTTCTTTYGGGCTGAAAAACTTCACTACAGTGTCAGTCAGCTTGGGCTTGCAGTGCTCACACTTGGATGTGAGACTTTTCTACAAATAAATGAGTTTTGGATAGGTGACAAGGATTGTGTTTTTACAAAAATAAGTTCTCCTGAACTCATATGAATTCTGGGTTTTTTTTTTTTTTTTTTGGTTTTGGTTTTTTTTTTGGTTTTTGTTTTTCCTGAGACTATTGATTTAAAACAGATTTGATGGAAGAATATCTAATAAGTAGCAGAAAAATACAGCAGATTATTATCACGTGTCATATTATCACAATTGTAAAGAAAATAAGGCATTATTTGAAGGTACTTGAAGTGAGAGGGAGATTGTCATTTTTAGGAAGCAAAAAAACATAAAAGCGTATGTTATACTGAAGAGAGCTGAGCATCACAATTAGGAAAGTGGTCTGGCAGTGGTTTGCATGAGCTTTAGTTAATTGATTTTTATATGTGCTCTTGATCACAACAATGACTCATTTCCCTTTTCAAGTACTTTAAAGCTCCACCTAGAGTTGTAGCCATTAGAAACTGGATATGTGGCCTCGCCAACTATTCTTTGTGGCTGTTTTGAAACAGATAATGTATCTTTTGCTGACACAAGGTGGAGTGCAGTACTGATCTGGCTGAATGTAGTGTTTGATGGAGCTGATCTGTATGAGAGCATCCAACTAAAAATCACAGMAAGTGAACGGTGAGAGTGTTTATTGGCTTTGCGCACAAGAACATGCAGTGTGCCAGCTGCCAAAGCCACCAGGCAGTACGGGTACTGCAGGAGATGGATAAAAAAAGATCCGTTACTGATCAGAGATGTGAGAGATGGTGTTAGCAGCTGCAATTAAAAACAGAAGAGAATATATGCAAGTGATTGAGACAGAAACAAAGCACAACTCCTACCTGTGTAAGTTCGTGTGCTGAGTGTCCCGAGTTGCACTTCACTGACTCTGTATTTTTACATCCCAGGTTCAGGTTCAGTGGTCGTATTCTTGGCCTTGCTCTCATCCATCAGTACCTTCTTGACGCTTTCTTCACGAGGCCGTTCTACAAAGCGCTACTAAGGCTGTGAGTATAAGCATGAAACCAAGCACAAATGGTGGTCAAGCCAYTTGATGGCCTGCATGGCCATTCACCAAGGCACGTAGGTCAATGAGTCCTACATGTCTGTGTTGTTTCTGAGCTGGCTAGAGCTGGAAATAGCCAGAAACTAGACTCCTCCCTGCATCCTTCTGCCACTTTGGGGGAATTTAGACCAGATTGCTCATAACACCCACCTACCCTTTCAGCAAGCAATGTCCTCCGGAAATTTCGGCTGCCCGGTCTGCCTTCTGTCAGCCTTGTGAGCTCACCTCAAGGGTGAGGGATGCATGGAAGCAGCCAGGCACAGCATGGTGGGGCCTGTCCATGCTGAAGGTAAGCATGTACTCTGAAGTGCAGAGCATCCTCAAGACTCACATAAAATCAATCCCCAGGGATGCCTTCCAACAGCAAATAGTGCCAGCAGCCAAGAGAACTGGCCTCAAGCCCAGTYGTGCCAAGCAGACACTTCCAGAAGTGTCTTAAGACGGTCTGTGAAACAGGCTCTGATGTTAACAAAGCCAAGAAAACATGAGCTTTATGTTAGGTCTTTATCACAAATGGGTTCATTTTCTGAATAGTAAGTCATCCTGCCAGTAGTCATGAATAGTCTTTAGCTACATCTTTTTGTCTTGCCTCACAACAGGCCATGTGATTTAAGTGACTTGGAGTACCTGGATGAAGAGTTCCATCAGAGTTTGCAGTGGATGAAGGACAATAACATCACAGATATCCTGGATCTCACCTTCACAGTGAACGAGGAGGTGTTTGGACAGGTGAGCACACCTAGGCAAAACATTTGAAAAACAATTTTGAAGCTGACAGAATTGAGCATGATGAACACCATTCTGTCAGAACAGATCCTTTGGCCTTTCAATAACTTTTATTTTCTTTCAAGCCACCTGCGTTCACTGCAGATGGCTATTCTTAGTTTCTATAATGTAAAATACCAGCCGCAGCTCCCCTGCAGGCCTGTTGAGCCACACACTGCTGAACAGGAGGAATTCCCTGAAGTGGAGTAGAGCCCTTCTCTCCAGGGTGTAGTTCACACCAAAGTGGCATTCAGTGAATGTTAGCAATGTAACTTAAAGCTGATGAGACTGAAAGGATGGGGTTCAGGACGGAAGAAAAACAGTCGGCAGGTGCTGAAAGATGTGGCAGTTCTCATCACGGTTTTGTCAGATATTTTCCTGTTACGTTCTGTGTCTCTTCACCTACCTTGCACCCTGCTGACATCTTGGTACATGCTTGCAGTTACAATATTTTTTACTGCTTACCTTTGTATTAGTCAGATGATTCCCTTTAGCCTCGCAGATCTGGATAACTTTGGCTTCAAGAGGGAGCAGCCCTGGCTTCAGTGCAGCCTGGCAGCCAGAAGAGATGCCAGGGTTTCCTATGGATTTTTTTGCTTGTACCAAAGCGTTGATCCTYTTTGCAGTTATAACCTGTTCTGCACCTAAGGAAAAGAGGGGAGGGGAAAAAAAGGATTATTTTCAGTGAAGTTGATTTTGATGTATAAATAAATAGGGATGGAAGTGTTTGCATGAAAACAGCCCTTCTTAATAATGTGGGAGTGAAAAATAAGGGAAAGACTTGGAAAGGACCAAAGAAAAATTCAGGAGATGCTTAAAGGCATCAGAGGAGATGCTAAAAGCTAGACAGACTGAAGAACCGAGCTTGCCATGAGCTACAGAAGCTCAAAGGATAAAAGTTAATCACTGTGCTAGCTGATGGCTAGTGTCCAAGGGAGAGATCAGCTGGAATATACAGAGAATGGCTCGTGGACCTCAAAAGCAGAGTTGACAGGAGCAGATTGTACAGAGTGAAGGCCTGCAGGGATGGTGGGGAGCTGGACTSGTATTGCAGGGAAGGAGCTCTGACCCTCTTGAGAATAAACAGTGAGCTCAGCAATAAGGAGCTGGAGAGTAGCAGAAAGCAAGCCAGACTTTAGAGGATGTTTTCAGAAATGATTGGTCTGCTTGGACTTCAAATGGAGGCAAAGGAAACAGGAAAGAGAAAAGGGTGTGAGGGATGAACAGAGTTAATTGGATGAAATCAAAATGATGAGGAAGAGGAACTGAAGTAAGAGGCCTCAGTAGGAAAGATAACACTGTTTTTCACAGACCTAAATGCAGKGGTTTTTTGTTTGTTTGAGCTGAGAGTTTACATGACATTCAACTGACAGTGCAGCAGTTTTCTTGGGAGGTATGGCTATGTAAGACTGATGAATGAAGACAGACAGACGTAAACGTGCAGATAGATTCGCAGTGACAGATGAGACAGGTTTGTATTTGCATTCATAGACTACAAAGGTGAACAAGAATCGCAGTCTGAATTGCCCTGGTGCATCCGAAGGTAACATTTGGTGCTCTAATTACTGATTATAAACTTCGCAAAAAAGGAGTTAGACAATTGCAAAGGAGCCTGCGGAGGACAATAAAGAAGGTGGCTCCAAAGAGAAAAAAAAAATCATCATTTGTTGTGCAGATACTGTTATGCTAAAGCGAAAGAGCACTTTGAGCCACATTTTGATGCCAGCTTGCATGTTGTCTATGACTTGGTAAGTACTAGACACTAACCTTGCTAGAACTAGTGATGGAAAAAAAAACTATTCTCACCATGAATTTAGAGTGTCAGAATTCAGGCATCCTAAGTGAAAGTGAGACTTTGATTTTCCCCCCTCTTCTGAAACCTGCTGATAGCAAAATACCCAAGGAATCACGTTTTTTACTCAAAGATGGGTCTCAGTCAGGAGTTCTTGCATGTCAAAAATACCTGACCAGTTAAATGCTACCTGGATGCTGCTTTGCTGGATCTCTACATAACCACAGAACACAGTGGGGACTCTGCTAATATTTGTAAAGCTGCATTTCAAGGGCAGGGTATAGGAAGCAAAGAGTGGCTTTTTGACCAGCTATGTTGTAGATGGGACACAGGCATTTTTCCTGCTTCCATGATGACTTTATTACGGACAACTCACTTCATCCCTTCTTTGCTGCCTCATTTCTGGCTTGTGAATTCAGCTGTTAACTTTTGGGGCCAAATCTTCTTTTGTCWTTTTTTTTTTTTTAGTAACCTTTATCATAAAGGACCACTAGTCTTTACTGCCTTCAGGTGCCTAATACCGAAGATACTGTGTAGAACCAAGAGTCCCAAAGTCTTACTGGTGGGGATTAGATGTCAGTTTGAAGACTTTGCTTACAGGACCCAAGAGGTGGCAGCTGCTCACCGTACTGAACACTTTYGATGGCTTTTATGCACTAGCAAATGCTCTGCCAAGACTTCCTCCAATATATATGGATGTCATGGCAATTACTCCACTCAGGCAAAAGTACTGGGTGAGATTGGCCTGCTATTTGGTAGATGACGTAAGGACAGTCTAAAGCGGGGGAAAATCCATCAAGTTTGTTGACATTGAGATCTAACATGAAGGTTTCATGAAAACATAGTCTTCTGGATGGTATAAGGGGAAAATTAGCTGTATGTAGTCCACAGCATTTCCTTTTGGACTTAAAACATCTCCTTACTGCTCTGAAACATAATTCTGAGTTCTAGCTCACAGCTGTGATTTGAACCTATCTGAACAAAAGAGAAAAACAGAGACCCTTTGTCATTGTTTGGCTGTTTTCAAGTGCAGATCATTAATTGTGTTTGAAATTACACAGGTAATGAGAAGCTGAAGAAATCAGTCACCAGCACGTCAGGCTTTTTTGGGGAAGTCTTGCAGGAGCTGCACAGCACTTGGACAAGGGCATGCCTAAAGCCACACAGTGTTTAATCGTGGTTCTGAGCAGCCACATCCTGGTGCTGCACAGCCCTGAGGAGCGCAGGGCGCCGGCTCAGGCGGAGCATTCCCCTCTGCAGGATGCTACTCCAGGGCGATGCAGTGATTACAGAGGGGCATTTAACCTGCACCAGCTGCAGATTCCTAACTTATTACATGCAACCTTACTCGTTCTTGCTGTTTCTCAACAAAGCTGCAGATTAGGTGACTCACTGAGCGTTTCCATAATTTACGATGTTTCTGTAAGTCCCTCGAGCTAAGTGACCTGAATATACGCTGTATGCCATCTCTTAGGCTAATAAATAGATAAATAATATAAACAATGTGTAAATAATAGAAATAATGAATATGCATTCATGCAGCTCATTCACTATCTTTAGTAAACATCATTGTTATAGCATCAGAAAACTGAAGAGGGTAGGAAAAGCTCTCATTATCCTTTATATTTGTGCTACAGATGGATGAAGGGCCCAGGCAGAATGCAAAATATGGCTGCTGTATGGATCTTCCACTTATATTTTCAAAGCACAGCTTGAAGTGGAAGTGATCCATACGTTGCTACCCCATTTCTTTGTTCTATAGGTAACAGAAAGAGAATTGAAATCTGGAGGGGCAAATACAGCAGTGACAGAGAAGAACAAAAAGGAGTACATAGAGAGAATGGTTAAATGGCGTGTCGAACGAGGAGTTGTTCAGCAAACAGAGGCCTTGGTCCGTGGCTTCTACGAAGTAAGTGTCAAATGATGCTGCCATCATCTCGCACTAATCCTCTTAATTTGATGACCCCGTGGTTAAATTAGACTGCATTGGCACCCTATGGAATGGCTTCATAGGCAGAAGTGGACAKGAATGGAGCACCCAAATCTGTAGCAGCCAGGAACATTGCAGATGATGGAAGAAATGTGTATTGTGAGTATGATAAAGCATAATGATGAAAAGGAAGCCAAGCCATAGGTAGAACATCACTGAAGATCATTGCTGTCCATTCCCATAGTAAGAAAAGTGGTGGTTTGAAACCTTTAACCCTGCCACAACAAATTAAAAGAACAAACTCAAGGATTACAAACTAGTTGGCTTATAGTCAGTAAACTAAAAGAATCTTGAAGTTCAGAAAAATGACACAACAGGTAACGAGCACACAAAACAGTACTGCTAGCTGATGGCACTAGGAGACCATGCACAGGCATTGACTGGGGCTGGAAACTGGTTAGGGTGGCTTTGTAGCTGAACAGAAATGGTCAGAGGTTTTGCTGCAGAAGTGGACTGGCTGGATGACCCCTTACGGTCTACAAAATTGTTCATGTGATTCCCCGGGTTGTTTCATTTTTGATATATTTTTTTTTCCCTTGTGGATACTACAGACTGTTAAAGCGTTCCTTTCCATGACACCAAGAAGATGCACCTCAGCGAAGTCAAAACTGCACTTTCAGTTTCTGAGGCTGAGAGTTTCTGAAGATCTGAGACTTCTGTGAATAACTGTAAACATATTCCAATGTAAACAAAAATAGAAAAGAAATTCTCCATATTACAAATCTAGTGTCCATTTGACCATCAAAATCACTTGTCAGAACCGATAATAACAATGAAAAATCTTCTGTGCAAACTATGCCTTTCCACTTGTGTTGTTTTATTCTGTTCACACCTCAAGTGTCAGTATTATTTGCAGCTCAAAGCACCAGCAGACTGGCTGAAGAGCACTGATTTCTCAGAGTGAAAGTTTTCCATCTGCATGCAGCCTTTGTCAAGTTAGGGAGCTGACCATCAGAGCCACAGGTTTAGAAGACCTTGCAGCCGCTTTATTTCCAGCCTGACATGGTGCTTACAAGTGTTTTGTGTTCTAGGTCGTCGACTCCCGGCTTGTCTCCGTTTTTGATGCCAGGGAACTGGAGCTGGTTATTGCTGGCACTGCAGAAATAGATCTCAATGACTGGCGTAACAACACAGAATATCGTGGAGGTAAACTCTCTGCTGAAGCTTCCTAGCAGCTTGCTGGATGGTCTTCCAGTCTAACTCAGGAAAGACTTTGTCCATTTTTTCCTTTTGCTTTTCCTGAAGGCAATAATTATTTCATTCAGAAAGTTTTTGTGAAGGATAACCCATGGAACAAAATAATTAAGACCTTAGGATTTGATCAACAGGTTTAGTAATACTGAAATTGCTCCTTCACAGCAGTTTTTACTTAGTCTCAATTTCTACTGACTTAACGGGAGTTTTAACTAATAACAACTGAAAAGAATATAAAGTATTTGAACTAAACATTACTTACTCTGATGACTCTGAATGAACTTTCGGCCTCTTTGGAAATAATATCAGAAGTCCTCTTGGCTTCAGCAGGAAAGGAGGTGGAAGAGCCAAATTCCATTGCTCTCAAYTACACTTCAACAAAATAGAGATCTTTCTTAGCTGTTCCCCTCCACCTAAACTATATCAAGATGACTTACTTTTGCTTTAAATGCTGCACGTGCTTTATCCAGGCTTTCTTGAATGACGGATACATTTGAAATCCACCAGTTCTGCACTACAAAAGGAAGGTCCCTGAGGTTCACATATCYTCCGCTGAAATACAAGGCATAAGTCTTTGCTGCTCACTGCCCAACCTTTGTGTTAATCTGAAAAACTCAGCTAAGCACAGGCAGGACTGGTCTCTCAAGTTATGCTTTTCAGCACTGCTATTTCAGCAGACAGATTTATCCTGGGTTTATGCTGGTTTTCACTGGCACAAATGAAGGCAGAGAGCCCCTGAGGTGGGAAGTCTGCCAGGGCAAGATGTGCAGCAGCAAACTGCACTCCATATGTGGGACACTAACATAACCCAGAAGTAAAGGTATTTGGGAAATAGGAATTTTTTTTGTTAAGCCATCAGGACGCACACTGTGTGGGATTGTACTACTGGTCMTTTTTATTTCATGCAGATAGCCCCATGCTTGCCAAGGCTTTTGTGAGAGGCCACGTACCTTGGATTTTAATTTGAGTTTTAGGGCTTGGGATAACTTACTCATAGTTACTCATAGTATCCAGAGATACTGCATAAGATTAGGACTTTGATCAAGATTTTTTGATATTTTCATGTTACCGTCATCACTAGCGGGTGTGAATTTAACTCTTCTCTCTTGCTTTCGTGCCCAGGTTACCATGATGGACACATAGTCATACGGTGGTTCTGGGCAGCAGTGGAGAGGTTCAACAACGAGCAGAGGCTGCGGCTGCTGCAGTTCGTCACGGGAACATCGAGCGTGCCCTACGAGGGCTTTGCGGCGCTCCGGGGCAGCAACGGGCTGCGGCGCTTCTGTATAGAGAAATGGGGGAAAATAACATCCCTCCCAAGGTAAGCCAGGACTGGGACTGAGAAAATAGGAGGATTTGCTGTGCGAAAAGTGGCCTCTTGCAGGGAAGGATCACGAATAAAATAAGGACGTCCTAAAACTCCRGCAGAGACAAGCGTCAGCTTATTCTGTAGTGGCATTCAGAGAAAAGATGTTTCTTTTGCCACCTTTTTGATTTGCAGGCTCAGTTTGAGCTATATTGAATCCTGGGAAATGGTTAAGATAAAATTTTTCCAAGATCCAAACCTAGTCATCTTATACTTGATTCTGAATCAGATCCAGACCGGCAGGAGCCTGTCAGCTGCTTCTATTTTCTTTGCCTCCAAAATGCCAGTAAAAATACTTGTGAGATGGTTACAGAGCCGCAAAAGCCAAAATCTGCCTCTGAGTTTTGGCCAGAGACCTGAGTGTAATCCCTCCATTTGCTCTGATGCTCTGACTTTTTTACAGTGAGGAGACTGAGTAAAAAGACTTCAGACCATGTGGTGATAATACCCCAAATTTGYTACATTTCAGTCAGCCAGCTAGGAGTAAATGAGCCATAATGTCATACAGAGCCAGCAGACTGCAGAATGCCTCCCAAAGAAGGGCTCATCTTCCTCTCTAAACAAAGGGACTGGGGGGCACAGAGGGGTGGTCCTACCTACTTAAGGCCAACCAAGAGAGTGGTGGCACAGCCARTGATAAATTCAGTTCTGCATTCTTCTCCAGCATTTTATCCCTGATCAGCCCTCATACCTCTCCTCTCAACTGAGCCATTTTTCTTGAGTGTCCTGCAGCTGCTTGAGGTTCCACACYGTCAAGATTGCAATGCAAAGCATTCTTCATGGGGCTGCATCTGAGGGACTGTAGGATACCTTTGCTAGGTGACTTTTCACACAACCATTTCCCCTCCAAAGGAAGCTTTCCTGCATCACTCCAGGGTCCTTATTGCCTACTGCCATTTAAATTAATGAACTGGAAGCCAGAGGAGCCTGAAATTCTCACCCCACTCACATTACACAGCTTAGCTGCCTGCGTTCAATTCTTCTGGTGACTCTCTCCAGGGTCACCAGAAAGGTGACCTTCTCCAGGTTAGAATTAGGTCAAGTCTTCCATGAAATGCCCGAGACCAGGCAGGCCAAAAGGCACTTTCAGACAGTCCCTTGGACTTTATCATTTGCTTGCAGATGCAATCCAGAGGATACTATATCTACTTTCATGGCACACTGCAAAATCTGTTCTGTCAAACCTTGTGGACGTATTCAGACAGTGAATTAATCATGAGTCTAATCCAGTTTTCCAGTTTTCTGCCACCCATGCTATTAAAACAGGAGCATGCTTTACAGTGCAGGTCTGAGAGGACCTCCAGAGCTCTCTGGAGAGGAAATGCCCAAATTTGGGCAGCATCTTAGTCCAAGCAGACGCATATTCAAGCCCTTGTTGGCGCAGTGGGGTGCACGGGAGCTGGGCCTGGGCACCACATCAGCAGACTTTCTCAGCTCATGTCTTATGGTCAGGTCTTCCTGACTGCTGAAGCTCAGGAAAAAGGAAGAGAGTATTCTTAATTATTATTCATCCCCATCTTACCACAGATTTTTAGAATATCTCAGCTGAATCACACCTGGTATGTTCTGATTTAATTTGATCAGTTGAAGTCCATAAGGACTATGCAGAGATCCAGAGCCTACACGACAGCAAGATGCAGACACTGAGATTTAAAAGCAAGTGGAGACAGGTAGGGCCAGTGAAGTGGCTYGTGTCCTCTGCACTCCAGCCAACGGAACAGCTAGGAAGGAGAGGAAGCCTGAGAGCTGGTTTTCTGGGCTGAGGCCTTGCAGCTGTGATACAGCCTGGTTCTGTATGTGGGTTTCGGAGCAGACCAAGGGCGTTGCTGCCTGCAGRCAGAGGGAACCTCCAAGAGCACAAGGCGCAAAGTGCAGCGTTGCTGCAGCGCTCTGTGCTCGGGTGGGAAGGGGCGAGAGGGGACAGTGGGCACCGAGACAGCCCAGGGCTGCCCCAGGCAGTTCTCAGGGGGAACCGGCCTCCTCCTGCTCTGCTGAACTCTCCTGCGTGGACGTAGGGGGTACTGACGAGCCCCATTGAGTCTGCCCCAGATATTCACATTAACAACTTGAGGTTTGTCTGCTGCTGGCCAAGCCCTTGGCCCTCCCTGAAAGAGGCCTCTTTTCCAGGTGAAAGTTGTTAGCACCTTTTAGAAGTCTCAGAGCTCCGGGTTCATTGTAGCYGGGGGAAAAAGAAACAGCCCTTGCTCAGGGGGAATAAACACAGCTTGATCACTCTGAATTTATTACCTGTATTTTTGTGAAAATATGGTATGCTGCCAAGTATACACAGTGTTAAGAAATACATAAAACACACAGGCTAAACCTGGAGGCTCCCTAAATCCTTAGGTAAGCAACTAAATAAATATTTTTTAAACTTTTCTTTTTTTAAATGCCTGATCGTGGATTGCTTGTGTTTATTTAGATTTAGTTATGTGTTTACTTAGATTTAGAGGCTAAAAAAAGTCATATRTCATATCCTGTAGACCTTTTGGCCCTATGATACACAGTAACTTTACCTGTTTAAAATAACCCGTAACAAATTCYCAACTCCTACTAACAATTCCTCCAACTTTACAGGGAGGGCTCCCCTTGCCGCACATTTTCAGAGATGTAGGGAAAGAAAGACAGCTTTTCCGTGTGCTGCAGCAACCATCAGATTTGGCCATTCGTGGGCTTAGATTGAGGCCTAAGTTCTTAGGCCCACAGTAGATGTGATAACCCAAGAGATGGTGTAGTAGGTGCTTGCTTGAAGATCCAGACACCTGGTGCACGTGGCTTTCCTGTAGTCCCAGCAGAAGCTGGATCAGTGGGAATATATTAGTCTGGCCCTTGCATTTGCAGATCTCTGACAAAGTGTTGAGATTTCCAAAGTATTTACAGGGGATTGAGATAACTTAGAAGAGCCCAGGATTTTCCTATATTTTCTCCCTCCTGCTCCAGACAGCTGATGTGTTCTGGAGACTCCCTCTTACATTGTGTCCTGTGCTTCAGTGATAGAGTCTGCAACACAGTTTGCCTAGAGTGAGCAAAGATGTGTCACCTAATGACATAAAAGCATAACCACTGATAGGTAACACCTAGAGTGCTTCTGGAGAGCACTGTGGATGATCACGTCCTTTCAGGAAGGTTGGGAAGGCAGAAACTTTTTCCTAAGCTATTGGTGCTCTTGTTCATCAGGAGGAGTTCTGCTACCAGAACATGTACCAGTGGGGTAAAGTGGTGATGCAGGACCACCAGCAATAGATCACAACATTGGACTATTTCTCTTACTTGTACTGGTGATTTGCTACCTGGAATAACATAGTTTCATGCAGTRTTGTAGGAGCAGAACATCTGGCTCGAAAAATGCATGTTCAAAGGACAAGCAATGTTTTCCACTATAGGCACAAGGGAAAATAGTTCCTTTCCTTTAAGTCTCAGCCTGCGAAGTTCTGAATACCTGCAGTTGCCACCGTCCCATCTTCTGGTTCCATTCTACACACAGACAAAGCTCATGTCAGATCCACTGGAATAACAGTGAAATAAGGATCTCAGCATATACTCCAGTGATTTAAATAATCACATTTGACACAATTAAGTCTTTTCCCCATCAGTGCTGAGTTGTAACTACCCTACCCTTCCATCAAAAGAGATTTTCATTCAGCAGAGCAATACTAGTAGTTACCAGCATAGTTACCATATGATAAAAATTATCAGTGCTAGTAAACATTTGACCTTTTGTAGGAGATTTCTGTCCCTATTAGATGATAAAATATTTAAAGGGAAATCCCAAGAATCCCATATAGCAATTAAAAAAGATTGTGTGGCTACAAAGAACTTTCTTCTCATCATTTCCTCTTTTCCCAGTAGAGTGTGTGTGTGCACTTGGCTGCTGCTTTCCTTAACTCCCTTGCTTCTGTTTCCTCTTCCTYTCTTCTTTATAGCTATCATCTACCAGTCCACATTCATCTATTATTCACTGGTTCCCAGACAGAACAGGGGTGTTCCTTTTGACAAACCAAAGGAACAAAAGTAGGTATCTGTGAGCCTTGAGGTTGATCCAGAGGGGCTTGTGGGTTTGTTTAAAGACAGCAAGGTGAAAAGCAGAAACGTCCGATTTGTGTCTCACTGGCAGGGTTGTGTCAAAATGCAAGTGTGCCTTGAGTTGGCAGGTCCAASCTGTGAATCAGATCGAAGGGAGTCTGTGTGCATTTGCTGCCTTTGGACTCTCATCATTATGGGGATTAACAGAAGTGACAAGGAAAGAAGAATGCAAAAACTTAAAAGCTTAACACATAATTTTTAGAGAGAATTSTGGAAAGAAATAGCACTGTGAACAGTCAGTGAGATTAAGAATTTGGACCTCCTAAAACTGCTGTGAGCAATAAAATCAAGCGGCCAGGAAGGGTGAAATTTTAAGCGATCCTTTTACCGCTTTACTTTACCAGAGGATGGGAGCATGTGGGAGTCAGAACTGGTTTACATGACTTTATCTTGCATTTTCTTCTGGAGAAGCCAGAATGCTTTCCATGAAAGCCCTTACTGATCTAATTCTTCTTCCAGACCTCTCACTTCCCCAACACCCTCTCAAATGTCAGCAGGCTTGCGTGGCTGGAGGTTTAATTAAAAGAAGACTTCTCTCATTGCAGTGACTATTTCTTCTTCTGCTCATGCAATGTTTTCACACCAAAATGTACATCAAGCCCCGTACTACCAAATAGCACACGTCTCCTGGAATATGTCTACACAGTCCTTCTCACCAAGAGAGTCAGCTCCATTCTGAAGGAGCTTACCCACCTGTAGGACAAGACACTGTGGCCTTCACAGCAAAGGACCACTTGGGCTCTACACGAAAAGCATACCAGACAACTTTGCATATAACTACCTAGCCATAAGATTGACAGAGATCAGCATCTCTGGAGTTGCAGCAGATCTGCGTTTGTTCCCCAGACCTGAGGTTCTGCCCTTTAGCCAGCAATATGTTGTGTTTTGCACCCTGAGAAGGTAGAGTTGTTAACCTGCTTAGTRCTGCTGAAAATGAGCTCTCCTTTTTGAGTTGGTGGGACTTTTTGGAGGGAAAGATTTTTTTTAGTATAAAGTTGTTGGACTAGAGAACACAAGAGCATTGCTTGGTATGATCCTTTGATGTTTCTAGACATGTTTTCTCCCTCCCTCCCTCCGTCCCTCCCTTCTTTCATTCCTCCCCCCTCCCTCCCTCCTTCCTTTCCTCCCTTCCTTCATCTCTCTGTCTTTCCAATAGTTTCTTCCCACAATAAACTCTTTGAGACATTCTGTAAGGAACCTACTTCTGTGAACCTTGTAATAGGAAAATGAATTGATCTTTAGTCTGAGTTTGACCAAGAATGACAGGACAGCCTGTTCCAGGGCTCTGTCACCCTCACTGTTAAGAAATTTTTCCTTAAGTTCCTGTGGAACTTTTGGTGCCTCAGCTTGTGGCCATTTCCTCTAGTCCTTTTGCTGGCCACCACTGCAAAGAGGCCGCCCCCCTCCTCCTCACTGCCTCCCTTGAGGTATTTATAGACACTGATCAGGTCCCCCCTCGGCCTCCTCTTCTCCAGGGTGAACAGGCCCAGCTCTCTCAGCCTTTGCTCACAGGGCAGATGTTCCAGGCCCCTGATCATCCTGGTAGCCCTGCGCTGGACTCTCTCCAGGAGCTCCACATCCCTCTTGTACTGGGGAGCCCAGAACTGGACAAAACAGCCAAAAGCCTGCATGAAAATAAGCAGCAGAACCACTGGCTGTGGACATAGTGGCACCACCTAGTGCAGTRCAAGACAGAGCTGGCAGAAATGCCACATTTTCAGACAGCTGAACGTGCCCGAAGGTGAACATCATACAGAGAAGTGACTTTGGGCTCAGCAGAGTCACGTTTGCAGCGCGCGCCAGCGCTGGCGTGACTCTGCACTTCCAGGTGTGCAGCATTTTCTTAGGAAGGGGAAAAAGGATGGTAAAGCTCTCCTAATTGAAATAGCGTGATACAGTGAAGATCACATGCCTCTAGCTATTTCATTTGCCCATTTGCCTAGTTTACCACAGGCGCTTGATAAATCTCTCCTTTCAAACCTGCAAGTCTCTAGCTAGCCTTTCTACCAGTATCCTGTTTTTCTGACTTCATGTGTGGCTGAAGAGATGACTAACAGGATTTCCAATAGGGTCCACTCTTTAGATAGCTCTTCAGTTTCTGTACTGAAAAAGTAGCACTGCATTGAGCTAGGAGAGAAGTGAGCTGGAGAAGATAGAAGGAAAACAATTCCCCTTCTTCTAACAACACCGAGGCCCAGATGATCAGACATCATTAGCCACTGAGGCTGTGTTTCCTTCTGTAGCGGTTTGCCAATTCACGTTTAACAGAGGGAGCAAAAGGAAACAGAAAGATTCTTCACATCGTGTAACCTCCAAGTTGACTGAAGAAAAGGAAGTGTGTCCCCATGCTCGTTGAGCTCTGTGTTTTCCAGTCAGTGTAAATGGATGAGCTGTCTGGGGCAGGGACTGGCTCCTCACCAAGTGAAGAGGGATCCGCAGCAGGGTGTAATTGCTGCCCCCAGCAAAGCTGCAACAAGGTGGAGGCAAGTTTGGTTCCCCTTGCAGGGGCTCTTKTGAGGATGCTGCCAACTGGGGGTAAACGTACTGACAGAATTTGGGAACAAGAGGGTCATCGAGTTGGCAGCTTGCTCTGGGAAGAAAATATTTTGTTTCCGCCTTGGCTACCACAAATAAATAATAACATTTAAGGGCCGAACTTGCAGCAGATGGCTTACAGATGACTTGGAGGAACTTTTTTAGCAATCTTTCTTCTTCAGTTAGCAGGATTCAAGATCCCTGAATGTTCTTTTTCCAGCCAGCCCTGTCGCATTATAAGCACTCAGTGAGCCCATGGTGTCACCGTAGTTCATCACATTATGCCTGGCCACTGGTGCAAAACTCACCAGCTGCTCGTGTTGGATGTACAGCTGAGTTGCATTTTGTGGTAAATCTCAAAGCAACCAAAATGAGAGTGGTGGTGTTTTTCTCTCTRTCTGATCTAATATCACAATTCCTCCTTGACCTCCAGGATATTCCTCCATGAAGATCCCTGTGGATGCCTGCAAGATCCAAGGGAGGAACAGCTTGTCTCTTCTGTTTGAAATATGCATGTGCATGCACACATATATTTCAGCATTGGGTGACCTCTGGCAATTCAAGAATTTTATTTTAAGAGTTACAATTTCTGTGTTAGAATTATATGTCTTAAGTGAGCTTGAATGTCTTGAGTCTCAGCAGGACTTTTTTTTTTTCCTTATTAAAGTGTTTATTTAGATTAAATTTAACATGCAGCGTATTTTCCTTTTGCAGGGCACACACATGTTTCAACCGTTTGGATCTTCCACCTTATCCCTCATATTCTATGCTGTATGAAAAGCTGTTGACAGCTGTTGAAGAAACTAGTACCTTTGGACTTGAATGAGGGAGTTCAGGCACTTCTGGTGTTTTTCTGGCTGATGATGTCACCTTTCCTTTCCACCATCGTTTGATCTTGATTTCCCATGGTTTTATTTTTGAAAACAAACAAAAAAAATCAAGATTGATAAAAGCTGTGCATGAAGAACTGCCGCCCTCTAAGATCTAACCTTCATGCTTTCATCCTCTGTTTCCAATGGACTGCTAGTCTGTATGCAATAGAAAAACAACTGTCTCAAGGTCTCTGTATATCTCTACATACCTCCATTAATAACAATGAAAATACAAATGCAAGTTACGCTACACTTGACCAAATGTTAATAAATGTTTACTTCCATCTACGTTGATTAAAAAATAAAAAGAAAAACCCTCATCAAGCATTCCAAGCTTTTATATGCCCCATCTTCTAAATCAAACCACAGTCGATCTTACTTCTTACCAGTTGAATCCAGTACTAGGAGCTGGTCAAATATATCTTTCATCCATCCTTGTTCTCCCTGTATATATTGTCCATCTGAAAGACAACTGTGAGCAAAACTGATTTTTTATATACAAACTCATGATCCATATCAGTTGCATCAGCTGGAACTGGCCCAGATACACGGTGCAGATAAGACCTTCAAAAACTAAAAACCAACCTGTAACGCAATGAATGCAAAGCATAACAACTGTTGTTATGATTGTTTCTTGCAAGTGCTGGAGAGAATTTGCACTTCAGAGATATTGGAGGGGCATCTCTGTTGTAATGTTTACCACACAAGAAGCACAAGGTTGTGCACACTCAAGAAGGATGTGTTATTATGTAGCATAAAGGACAAGGCTCTCTTTCCTTAGTATTGTATGCAGTAAGGAAAGGGGGAAATAAGAAGAATGTTCTACGAAAACCCTTGGGTTCTGTTTACCAGATCTTTGTTTTCTGATGTTTAAAATGCTCCATTCCAAATGAAAAGTCTAGGCAATCCCATCCCCTGTTTCAGAAGCCATTCACTCTCTGTCAGGCTGGGCTAATCTATGGTTACTGATTTTGTTGTTTTGTTTTCTAGCTTTTATGTCATTTTCCTTTCATTGTTCAGTGCAGATCTCCACAGCCTCAGCAATCATTGTACGCAGAAGATTCTAGTCTTCTGAGAAGCTGCAGAGAATGAGGGTGCTTGTCAAGGATGAAGGCAACTGTAACTCTGTTTGARTTAAGGATTTGCTGTAATTCCTCTTGGAGTAAGCCCAAAGACCCTCCAGTCATATTAGGTACAACTAAATTAAAGATCTAGCTCTTGTTACTTCCAAAATAACCCTCTTCAATTGGGTGTAATTTTCATTCTAGCTCTGAAGATGGAGGTTGAAATTAAAACAGCAGAAAACTGGTCTTTGGATGGATTTTGTTGAGGCTCCACCTCACACCTCTGATGATTGTGTTCCACTTTTAAACTTTTCTGCCGTTGTTTTCCAAGACCCATCTCAGATTGAAAGTGTTTGTCTTAACTGGGAAAAGGAAATATGAAGTATCTTTTTACTTCTGACGATAAGGGTGTTAAAGGATGCATAAAATGCAAAGCGTAAGACTTGTGAAGTAGGATTGAAGGTAAGTGAGAAGGTAACACAGTGTCTAGCAGCTCACATGAAATGCCACACTCCTTGGGGCTTGCTACTGTTAGTCATGTGTTAGCTGTGCTTCAGGAAACTCCTGGCTACACCAGGAGATCCGTTCCATGTCAGACACATCTTATTCSCATAAATCTCCTCTCAGGAGAAAATATCTTGGCCTAGCTTTCCAGTGTACTTGTGTGGTGTATGGAAACTCATCACACTCGATTGACATCCCTCTTTGAGTTTTAAGTCACTCTTCTGATTGATTCTTAGGTCAATAGATGTTTGAATGGTGATGGACCCAAAGACACACAGAAACAGTAGCKTTTTGTTAATAATATATAAAGTACTTGGGATATTTAAATTGCCCCATTCGTTCTGCTTCTGTAACATTTCAGCCACTTTTATAGTAATTTATTGTATGACTTTTACTGAGGATCTATTTTATAATACACATTATTTTTCATATTGAGTACTCATACTGCAGTTGCCTACAAAGGCCTCAGCTACAAACTAGCTCYGTTGGACTAGTCCCTGTAAATGATGCTTACTATTCCGCAAAGTAGCTCTGGGTCACCTATTGCACGTGCCCAGCACAGTAGTGATGAAACTCTTGTTGTCTTTTTGTCTTTTTTTTTCCTGAGAGCATCTGTCACATGCAGATTAATTTCATCAGAGCAAGTCACGCCAGGAGAGACCAACTCCATCGTCAACGTATGTAATTTCTGCCTCCTTCAGCACCGGGCCCCACAGCCCAGTGATTCATGTATGGCTYTTGTTGTGTTCCTGGTAGCGTTTACAAAGTGACCTGCACTATGTCAAAAGTTGGATGTCTTCCAACAGTAAAGAAGAAGAAGGAGAGGCATCCAAATGGTTGGTCCCAGTTTGGTCAAAGAACATAGTGCATCAAGAGCTGTCTCATTAACATAATAATAATAAACGTTCCAATCTTTACAAGATTGTATAGTTACAATTTTTTTAAGTATTTAAAAACTATATTTTATTAAGAAAAAGAACTATTTTTTGTAGCATAATAAAAAATATTTGTATTTCAGAGACGRCATCAAACCCCAGTGACTGAGACAAGAAAGGCTTTCTCCTGAAATTCCCGCTCATGCCGCGCTCCGGCGCTCCTCACACACCACAAGCCAGGTTAGGTGTCACACATCTCCCACTCGGCAAACGCCGTCTCAGGCAGCCCCTGTGTTCCTGACTTGGGGAGCAAAGAGTACTAACTGGCTACTCCATCCGAATCTTTGGCAAAAGCTGCCTTTCAAGTTCCGAGTCTAGAATATTTTTAAAAGGCTGCTTTCTTAGGTGACTGTGATGGCATCAAAGTCACAAAACCCTTGTTGCTTTGGGTTTCTTTGGGTTTGTTTTCGTTTGTTTGGTTCATTCTGAGCTAAAGCCAAGAATGGGGGAAAGACGWTTGATACTCTTTCCTAAAACACAGGGAAAGAAACCAGCGCACTCCCGCCCCCGTTCCCGCAGCCCAGGAGCTTTCCGAACACCGGCTGCGCTGGGGCAGCGGCACGGGCGCCTCACGGTGCCGTGGGGCCGTCGTGGTGCCCGGCCTGGCGGGCGGCGCGAGGGGAGGCCGTGCGGCTCGGGGCCGCGGTAGCGCCTGAGCACGCGGGGCAGCGACATGGGGCTCATGGCGCGGGGAACCCCTCTCCCTCACCTCTCATTCCCCCTGCAATTAGCTGCCTGCGTCGTCATCGCCACTGCTGCTGCGACACRAGGCAGGCGCCCCTCCTTGCACAGTGTTCACTCGCCCACAGGGCCGCTTGTGCTCTCCCCTGGCCTGCACCTTCACGGGCGAAACGCCGATCACGCACTACAGAATTTCTGCTGTCACTGCTTTCCCCTGGGAAAGACTCTAGGATTTTCTGTAGAGTAGATTTGTGGTGAAATATGTCAGCAGTGAATTAAAAAAAAACCAACCCATAATCTGTTCAATTCCTTCACCTCTGCTCCCTTGAAACATGTGCTGGGTTATTTTAAGACCTCAGCATCAGTAGATTTTAAAATGCAAGGGAAGGACATAGAATAGGAAATCTGAAAGATTTTGTGATTTGCAACGTCAACAGGAGCAATGAAAATGGATAATTTGTCAATTTGGTTGCAGAAGGCTGTTATATTTCTGGAAGTGACTGTTGTGATAGCGTTAATGGGGGAGGGAAGGAAAAGAAGTATTTCTGCTCATGAAATCCTGATGCTGTGCTAGCATTAAGCTGAAGATACATAAATAAAAATAGATACTGCAAACCATCAGTAGGTCTTCTGCCCTGAAATATTCTTACTGACTGCTCCAGATGCTTAAGCTAGGCAGGATTTAATCCCGTTCAAATATAACTGTACCTTCCAAATGATTGCATTAGGTCTAAACCTTACACATATTGTCCCTGCAGTCTAGAGCATGTTGCATTGGGTTTCCRTCATGTGGTTGTGCATATGCTGAACTTGACTATTGTGTTCTGGGAGATCCGTGGCTATCACAAGCCAAAAGTAAGTAGTCCAAATTCAACCACCAAAGTGGTCCAAACAGAGGAATCCGGAGTTTCATGCAGATCTGACACAGAGGACTTCTTTTCACCCATTTTTGCTCAAGTGCCCACAAACTTTTCAGTGAACGGTAGTTGAGGTTTGAGTTTTTAGCGTAGCCTGAGAGGCAGCTTGGGGGCAGGGAGGGACTGGTTTTGGCTTTTGCTGGTTTGTTCTAGTTTCCCTGTAATAAATAATTGACATACTTCCAGTTGAGAACAGTAGGACACTGCATTTGCACATGGAAATCAATTAAGATAGAAATGAAAATATGCCACACGGAGGATGAGCTAAACTCATCCGCTGCTATTAATCCTGTGACAGGCTTTGGAATTACAGAAGGATGAATTTGACTGCAGATTAGTTTAATTTCTGTTGAAATAATAATTATTCACCCTGTCTCCACAGTGCCATTATTAATAGGGCTTCCCAGTAAAGATTGAACACTTTCAGTCAACTGCAAACCAACAGATCTTTATATAACARATGCGGTGCTTTTTTATTCTTATTCTTGCTGTACCTCAGTGTTCGTTCTTAAAAATAAAAAATAAAAAACTGCAATATACTAAATGTGGGTTTTCTGGTTCTCACAAGGCCCAAAAGACTGGATTGTTACTTTCTCTCTAGTGAGTCATGTAGTTCCTTTGTTCTAGTAGAAAAACAGATGCCTGTAGATAGTAGATACTAGGTTGAGTAAATATTGTACCATTAGCCAAATTCCCTGCAGCTTCCAATTTATCTAACAGAAATGTCTGTTACGGTTTTTGTTAAAGACTACGTCAAGTCAATAGCAGGAAAGGTCCTCATTATGGGACTGATTTTGCTTATATTGACAGAACAATGTCACATGATACTCAGGCTGTGCTTTCTATTCAATCATATCACTATAGAGGAATGTCAATAAACTCACTTTGTTATGGCATTGTGTGGACTGTCTATTACAAGTAATGTCTTTGGGACAGGATGTATTTTGCACTAGTGGAAGTCCRTTGACTTGAGGAAAGGGCAGGATCCTGCCTGTTCTCACCACGGCATTTCGGCTGCTCCGCTGCTTTGATTCTGTCTCTTGGGGTTACGTGTTTGAAACCAGAGGTTCTCCTCACAAATGTGCATGTGCTTTCCCGTGCTCTCCTAGAATATCCTAAGCTCAGGCCTGCCCTGAAAACATCTAAGCTCGCTCCGTGCCGCCCGATCTGCAYGGACAGACAGGTGGAGAAGAGAGATCCGTTCTACTTGCGCCTACCTCACTCCTAATTACTTCATTGCAGGTAAGGAATCAAGTGCAAGGACAGTTTCCTCACAGCCTGGCGGGGTCCGCAGGAAGTTTTGACAGCGACTCAGCAGCGGGAGCTCCGGTGTTGCCCGTCCGTCCCGGCTCGTCGCTGCCCCGTCCCAGCCGTGTTTCATCAGCACATTCCAGCGCAGATCAACACCCCCGACACAGTCGGCAGCCACCTCGCTGACCCTACCTGTTTTCTCACATAAATGGCATTTCGTGAGGGATAATGGTAGAAGGTGAATGGTGGCAAAGCTTAAATCATACGGGGAACGGTTTTTGCATGGCAAAAAAACAAACAGAAACCATCAGAAGAGGCTCCAAGGAAAATAACAAGTGTATCTTATACGAGGCAAACAAATTGACACCGAACATGAGTGCACGCGGTGGTGACGGCTCCAGAGACAGTGCTGCATTTCCGGGCAT